AATGGAACCTTAACAAACAGTGTTTAAATCTGTAAAGTGGTGGCTCATGCCTGTAGTCCCAGCACTGTGGGAGGTGGAGGCATGAGGACGGCTTCACCCTAGGAGTTCAAGATTGCAGTGAGCTATAATCATGCCACTGCACTCTAGCCTGGGACAGAGAGTGAGATCCTGTCTCTAAAAACAAAAAACAAATAACCAACAACAAAAAAAGGGATACTTCTAATGAGTCTTTAAGTTATTTCAGCAGTGGAGTGCCAATCCATACAGACTTTGGAGAACTTGTTAAATTTTCATTAATTTTGTGAGCTAGTTGTTAAGCCAGTATTAAAAATTAAATTAAAATTTTAATTAAGTCATATTAAAAATAAAGGTAGTAAATACTAAAAACTCATCTCTTTCTAATTACTTTACTACATTTTACTATTATCTATGCTCATGAGTTTATTTAATTTCATTGTAACTGAATATTCTACCTTATTTTTTCTTATCAATTTGGGAAATTTCTATTGACATAATATTTTCTTGTGTTTTTTTTTTTTTTTTTTGAGACAGAGTCTCACTCTGTTGCCCTGGCTAGAGTGCCATGGCGTCAGCCTGGCTCATAGCAACCTCAAACTCCTGGGCTCAAGCGATCCTTCTGCCTCAGGCTCCCAAGTAGCTGGGACTATAGGTATGCACCACCATGCCCAGCTATTTTTTTCTACATATTTTTAGTTGTCCAGCTAATTTCTTTCTATTTTTAGTACAGACAGGGTCTCACTCTTGCTCAGGCTGGTCTTGAACTCCTGACCTTGAGCAATCCTCCCAGAGTGCTAGGATTATAGGTGTGAACCACCTCGCCCAGCCTATTGGCATATTTTCAAGCTCACTGATTCTTTCCTTAGTCATGTCCAGTCTACTTAGGAGTCTACCAAAGGCATTCTTCATTTCTGTTACAGTGTTTTTGATTTCTGGCATCTCTTTTTGATTCTTTTTTTTTTTCTTTTTGATTCTTTCTTAGAATTTTCATCTCTCTGCTTGCATTACTGTTTGTCCTTGAATGTTGTCCACTTTTTCCATTAAGAGTCCTTAACATATTAATCATAATTACTTAAAATTCTCAGTCTGATAATTCCAAAATTTTTGCCATATGTGAGTCTGGTTCTTATACTTGCTTTGTCTCTTTAGATTGTATTTTTTACCATGTAGCATGCCTTGTCACTTTTCTGTCAAAAGTTGGACATGATGTATTGGGTAAAAGCCAGGTTTTGTGTTTATATGGCTAGGACTTAGGCTGTGTTTACTTTTTCTACAACTGTAGGTATCAGAGGCTAAAATTTCCTCTAGCTATCCTTGTTTTTGTCATCCTTTCTATCTTTGAGTTTCCTTAGTCTTTCTTTCATGTATGTATGTGTATATCTTTCTATCTATCTATTTAGTTAACGAGACAGTTTTGCTCTGCCACCTAGGCTGGAGTGCAGTGGTGCTAACATAGCTCACTGTAGCCAAGACTTTTTTGGAGACAGTCTCTGTTGCCTCAGGTAGAGTGTGGTGGTGACATCATCATAGCTGAGTGCAACCTCAAACTCCTGGCCTCAAGTGATCCTCCTGCCTCAGCTTCCCGAGTATCTGGGACTACAGGTGTGAGCCATAACACCTAGTTTATTTTTCTATTTTTAGCAGAAATGGGGTTTTGCTCTTGCTCAGGATGGTCTTGAACTCCTGAGCTGAAGCAATCCTCCCACCTCAGCCTCTCAAATTGCTAGGATTACAGGCGTGAGCCACCGCACTGGCTGCAAGACTTTCTTAAACAGGGTCTGAGCCATGCAGTTTTTTCATTTGTAATCCCGTTATTATACAGGAACTCTGCTAATATAGTGGTGAGATTGGGGGCACATTCTGTAATTCTGTTATTAGGTCTCTACATTTTATTGAGCTTATGTCTCTGGGCTGTGACCTTCACAAGGGTCTTGTCCTTTTCCCCCCCTTATTTAAAACAGGAAGACTAGTGGAGGCTGCAGTGGGGTACTTCCCTTTTCCCACATTGGTTAGACTCTGTTAAATAGTTTCACTTAAGAACAGGCCTTTGTTACCCCTGGGTGTATTTCAAAATGACTACTTTTTCTCTCTCCCTGCTGGAAGCATGAGGGGATTTTTTTCCCAGTTTTCACAGAATTCAATGGGGCTGCTGGAGGTAATACTCACAAAAATGTTGGGGACCCCTTAATGCTAGGCCTACAGAAGTTTTTAAAATCTCTCAAGCTAGTCTATGTTCAGTCTCCAGGAACTAGTTAATTGCCCTATGAGTATTCCTGTCAGCTGCTGGTTCCAATAGCAGTTTTTACTCCAAGTTTCTGTCCCACCTGTTCTAAGTCCATCTGTCTCTCTAGTTTTGGGGGTAGAGGTTTGCTCCATGATCTCAATTCTCTGATGGGTCTGAAAAGGGTTGTTCAGTTTCAATTTGTTTAGTTTTTTTCTTGTTGTGAGGATGGGAGTGATGACTTCCAAATTCTTTATCTGTCAGACTGGAAACTGAAGTCCCCATCCATCATATCTGTCTGGAGAAAATACTATATGATGGTGTGTGCATCTCTTTCTAATTTGATTATCAGTGATGTCATATTGGTATCTTGAAATCAGCCATGGTGGCAGAGTTTACAACACAGAAATTGGCAAATATTACAATGTTTCATTTATTCATTTTGTTGATTGTCTTAACGTAAGAAAATGATAAAGATGTTAATAATTCAGATAAAGTTGAAAAGCGTACCATGTCTGTAACCATTACATTATCAATAACACAAAAAACTGGAACATTCTTCCACTATTCAAAAACTATTATGCAGGGCTGGGCGTGGTAGCTCACACCTGTAATCCTAGCACTCTGGGAGGCTGAGGCAGTAGGATTGCTTGAGCCCAGGAGTTTGAGGCTGCTGTGAGCTAGGCTAACGCCATGGCACTCACTCTAGCCTAGGCAACAAAGTGAGACTCTGTCTCAAAAAAAAGTATTGGGTGTGGTGGCTCACACCTATAATCCTAGCACTTTGGGAGGCTGAGGTGTGAGGATAGTTTGAGTCCAGAAGTTTGAGCCCTGCCTGGGCAACATAGTGTGACCCTGTCTCCACAAAAAATAAAAAAATTAGGCAAGTGTCATGGCATGCACCTATAGCCCCAGCTGAGGTGGGAGGATTGCTTGAGTCCAGGATTTTGAGGTTATAGTGAGCTATGATTGGGCCACTGTACTCCAGCCTGGGTGACAGAGAGAGACCCTGTCTTTTTTAAAAAAAAGAAAGAAAAAAACAAAAAAGGAAAATTCTTCTGGCTTAAGATTTTTTCAATTGTTCTTTAAGGGCAATGTATCTGAAGCCTAATGTTATTTCAACAGTAAGTGTGTTTTGAACACCTAGTACATAATGTAGGTAGTGTTCTATTAAATGGATGCAGAGATGACATTCAAGATCACACAGCTAGGTGGCTCAGGCCTATAATCCTAGCACTGTTAGGCCGAGGAGGGCGGATTGCTCAAGGTCAGGAGTTCAAAACCAGCCTGAGCAAGAGTAAGACCCCAGTCTCTACTAAAAATAGACAGAAATTAATTGGCCAACTAAAAATATATGGAAAAAATTAGCCAGGTATGGTGGTGCATCCTGTAGTCCCCCCTACTCGGGAGGCTGAGGCAGAAGGATTGCTTGAGCCCAGGAATTTGAGGATGCTGTGAACTAGGCTGACATCATGGCACTCTAGCCCGGACAACAGAGTAAGACTCTGTCTCAAAAAAACAAAAACAAACAAAAAAAAGCAAGCCAAAATACCCTGCACTATTAGCATGATTAGCACTGTAGTGTAGGACAAGCTACCTGATCTCTCTGAGCCCCAATTTCTCTACTGTAGGGTGTTTCGAGCATTTTACAAAGATTTATTGACTATTTACTAGGGCCAGGGCTGTACTAGGTGGGCGCTAGGGATACAAAAATGAAGGCCTTGTTCTTGCCCTCAATTTCAATACAAAGTAACAAATACTATGATAATAAGATCTACTGGATATTTTCTAAGTACCACGTACTATTACAAATGCTTTTTTTTTTTTTTTTAGAGTCTCGCTTTGTTGCCCAGGCTAGAGTGAGTGCCGTGGCGTTAGCCTAGCTCACAGCAACCTCAAACTCCTGAACTCAAGCAATCCTCCTGCCTCAGCCTCTCAAGTAGCTGGGAGTACAGGCATGCGCCACCATGCCCGGCTAATCTTTTCTATATATATTAGTTGGCCAATTAATTTCTTTCTATTTATACAGTTGAGACGGGGTCTCGCTCTTGCTCAGGCTGGTTTTGAACTCCTGACCTCGAGCAATCCGCCTGCCTCGGCCTCCCAGAGTGCTAGGATTACAGGCTTGAGCCACCGCGCCCGGCCAATTACAAATGCTTTTAACTCATTCACTCCCTTTCACAAACTAAAACGTAAGATAATCATCTACATTTTATAGAAGAGGCACAGACACGTTAAATATCTTGTCCAGGACCAATCAGCTATCAGACTTTGGGGCAGGAATTAAAAAAATTGTGCTTGTGGGGGGGCACCACTGCCCCCCCACAAGAACAAATTTATAAACTTTACACTGAAGGGAAATTTTACACTGAAATTTATAAATTTTACACTGAAGTGACAGTTTTAGTTCACCCATTCGCAAACACGGATTAAAATATTACCTCTTGGAGTTGTGCCGATTCAATGAAATAGTATTACTATATTTAAGAGTCAGTATTGCCCCTGGGACATGTAAGCTCTAAATTAATGCTATTAATTTCATTTTATTCCTTTAAGTTGCATCACTGTGGCGAATCGTAGGAATGTTTCCATGGCTTTGGCTACATACTGTGAAGTGACATACTACATACTCTTCAAATGGGTCGTAGTACTTTACCCTGCTATCAACAACGTCAGAGGCTCCTAGTTGCTTTAAATTTCGATATAGGATACGGCCACTTTCTTTAATTTTTTTTCTTTTTTCAGTTTCTGATAGTCCCACCTGTTTTCTCTTTCAAGGTCTTCATCTGCCCCATTTTACATCGCCGACTCCTTCACAAACAACATTCTCCGAGACGCAGCCCAGCAGCGCGTGGACAGACCCGATACCTCAACCCCCTACAACTGAGGACTCGCTGCCTAGCTGAGAGCGCGCTCAGCCCAGTTCTCGCGGGAAAGGACGTGATTTTTAAAAGTAAACGTCTACTCCCCACTCCCCGCCAAGGTGTCACGTGACGCGCCTGCGTCATTGCCTCAAGGTCCTTCCTGGTCGTAAACTAGCTGTTACAGGGTGTCGCGAGGTCCATTACGGAAGTAGGCCCTTTGACTTTCGCTTCCTCGACGGAAGCGTCGCAATTTGGCTGCCGACTCTTAGCGGAAGTTCGTCACGTCGCAGTTGCCTCCGCACAGCGGATGTGTCGCCGCTTAGGTGACGCTGGGAAGTGCTTGCAGCCTCCGTCGCTGCCTTCTGGTTGAAGCACTATGGAGGGAGAGAGGAAGAACAACAACAAACGGTGGTATTTTACTCGAGAACAGCTGGAAAATAGCCCATCCCGTCGTTTTGGCCTGGATTCAGATAAAGAACTTTCATATCGCCAGCAGGCGGCCAATCTACTCCAGGACATGGGGCAACGTCTTTACGTGTATCCTTGCGGCCTAGGCTTCTGGCCTTCGAGTCGGTCCCGCCATGCTCCTCGTCCAGGCCTTCAGCTCTGGTGGGGACCGAAGCGGGGAAGAAGGTGGGCAGTGGGAGCTGGATGTCTAGGTGGGAGAGCCCACGGTGGGGCGGGCTGAAACTGTTCCCGCGATGGCAGCGAGGCGGAGTTAATTTCCCGCTCGCTCGCTCTCTCGTGCCACCAACCTTGCTAGGAATTCGTATCCTTCCCAGCTTTGTCTTTTAACTAGCTCTTTCTAGTCCCTCTGCAGTGTGTTCTGACCTGCTCTGGTGAGTTTAAGATTCTTCTTTTCCCTCTGTGTTTTAGGGGTCTAGTAGAGGTTTCACTGTTGACGGCTTTCTCTCAAACTTAGTGTGTAAAGAGTCTCCCGAAATTCAGTAACCGAAGGCCTGGAATTAATGCCCCAGGCTTGGTTCATCCGTTCTTCCTACTTGCTAGCTGTCAAATTCTTGGTCTTTTCATCTGTAAAAATGGAATGATACCTCTTGCATTTGATTCTGTCCCTACCACAATGCTTGGCATTCAGACGTTCGAATAGTAGTAGCTGCTGTTAGAGTTTTATAGAATTTCAGAGGAAGGGAAAGATGTTGGTTTATATTTTTAGGGATGTAGCCTCGAGGAATTGAATGTGTTAAATCTTTTACAAAAGACTGGGTTCTTACGTTACTTAGAGTGCTGGAGTATATTCGTTTTCTTCATATTTCAAAGATGTGCTAACTTAGTGATTCCCCCCCCCCAATATTTTTGTTTGTCAGAAAATACACTCATTTTGTGGTAGAGAAAACTAATATGGTTTTAAAGTTGTTTCACTCTGTGCACGAAAACTTTTTTCTTGGGTGCAGCTTCCATTTAAATGTGTTGCTGTTTGTGTCTTAAGGTTGTGTTCATCTCAAAATAGGTGTCCTTTTTATTGTCATTTTGTTTCCTGTTGATATCCAGTTTGTTTCCTAAGCATCCGGTCAGTAAGGAGTTAAACTTTTCTGTTTGAAATTCTGTTTCAGTGTATCCTTAAAACTATTTCCCTTTTGTATGTGTGATGTCATTTAGGTTGTTGCCATCGTGGGACTGCATCATTTCTAGCCCCCATATTGTCAGCTGAGGTCTTTAGAATTAAGATATTTAAAAGTTTTTCTTTTCATTTAATGGATACCAGGTCCTTTCAAAGTATTTGTGGTCCTAGGGATCACCACGTAAGAAGTAAGAAATCTTGGTTGCCAGAGAGAAGTGGAACTGAAAAGTTAATTGCTGGAGTTTAGACAGTGAGAGAGATGGTGCAGACATACCTAGAAGACAGGTTAGGAAGGGCCCTGTAAATCATGTTTAAGAGATACCCTGAGCTAGCAGATCACCATTGCAGCATTTTCAGAAGGCAAGTGATGCAAATGTTTAAGATCTTACTTTTTTTTTTTATAGTTTATCTTGATCCACATATCCTGAGAGTTTATTCATTCAGTAAATTTATATTAAATACCTGTTATGTGTAAGGCATTGTGCTAAATGTCAATTAATAATTTGGTGAAAGAAAACAAACCTCTTTGGAGAGGCAGAGGTAAGTATGATTTCATTTAGTAGCATCGACTGTGCTTGATCATTTGGTGGTCTTTTGGGGAGGAATTAGAGGTTACATTTTTGGAAATTATACTGCCTGCCTGCTTGTTTTTGGACCTTAACTTGAACACTTCAGCTCACAATTGACCATCAACACTGCTATCGTGTACATGCATCGATTCTACATGATTCAGTCCTTCACACAATTCCATCGAAATGTAAGTATTATTTATTTATGAGACAGAGTTAATTAATTTATTTATGAGACAAAGCAATTTGTTGCCCAGGTAGAGTGAGTGCCGTGGTGTCAGCCTAGCTCACAGCAACCTCAATCTTCTGGGCTCAAGCAATCCTACTGCCTCAGCCTCCCAAGTAGCTGGGACTACAGGCATGCGCCACCATGCCTGGCTCATTTTTTCTATATATGTTAGTTGGCCAATTAATTTCTATTTATAGTAGAGATGGGGTCTCGCTCTTGCTCAGGCTAGTTTCGAACTCCTGACCTCGAGCAATCCGCCCACCTTGGCCTCCCAGAGTGCTAGGATTACAGGCGTGAGCCACCGCGCCCGGCCTATTATTTATTTTTTATAGACAGGGTCTTTCTCTGTCTACTAGGTTGCAGTGTAGTGGTGCTCACTTCAACCTTGAACTCCTGGGCTCAAGAGATCCTTTTACTTCAGCCTTCCAAGTAGCTGGGACTACAGGGATGAGCCACTGTGCCTGGCCAAGTTTAATTTTTTTATGTGGTGTAATCCTTCTGTGATAGATTCTAACTACATATTTCATTTATGGCTGGTCTTTGCTACTGCACTGGGATTTGAACTTTAGGGTTGATCACTTTGCTTATGTGTCATGCTGCTGTTCTGAATCCAGTTTTCCAGTTTTCCTATAAAGTGTCTAGTTGTCTGGTAGATTTAGACATCCTTAGAGTAGGTGGATTGGATTATCTAATAGAGAAGTAGATTATTGAACACTTAAGTTAACATTTGGGGTTGGTAGAGTAGCATTAAAGGGGAAATCATGCTTAATTTAAGTATAACTTTAAAAGTGGTAAATAATATGGTCAAAGGAAAGTAATGTAAGTTATTTAGATTTTCCAAAAGCCTTTGATAAAATTCCAATCAATGGTTGGAGGAGAAGTTACATTATATAGTAATGACTGGAGAAGTGACTTTTAAGAATAGGAAAAATAAATAATAGTAATAAAGGGATTCTTTTTTCTGGATAGAATTATAAATAGTGATAGCTTCAGTTTTGTTACCTCAAATGGTCTTATTTCACATTATTGTAAATGTATAGTGATATCCCAGTTCTCAGAAAGACTATATTTGTTTAATAAAATCCCGAGATTATAGAGATAAAATTGGAGAATGCTTCATATTGATTTGTGAGTAAAATATTTCATTATGAGGTATTTTTTGGGGAGGGGGGATGATATGGTCTTATTTATTAAATCAAAAAATCTTATTTTGGGCTGGACTCAGACTCCGAAGTAGATGCTCTCAGAGAGGACAGTCTACATCTCTTGGCAGTATGTTCCTGGTGCTTTTCTTTGACCTCCTTCATTCTCTTGGCCAAAAGTTTAGCATATTCTGCAGCCTCTTCCATATTTTTCTTAGTACGCTGTTTCTTCAGAGCAATATGCCTGCATTTATGTTGCAGGACATGTGGAGTTACAAGTTGCTGAATCTTGGGTGCTTTGGTCCCAGGTTTCTTTTTTTTTTTTGAGACAGGGTCTCGCTTTGTTGCCCAGGCTAGAGTGAGTACCGTGGCGTCAGCCTGGCTCACAGCAACCTCAAACTCCTGGGCTCAAGCAATCCTACTGCCTCAGTCTCCTGAGTAGCTGGGACTACAGGCATGCGCCATCACACGCAGCTAATTTTTTCTATATATATTAGTTGGCCAATTAATTTATTTGTATTTACAGTAGAGATGGGGTCTCGCTCTTGCTCAGGCTGGTTTCGAACTCCTGACCTCGAGCAATCCAACCACCTCAGCCTCCCAGAGTGCTAGGATTACAGGCGTGAGCCACCACGCCTGGCCTGGTCCTAGGTTTCTTACCTTCTTTGTTTAAGGGCTTCTTTACAACATAATGGCAAACATCATTTTCTTTAGACAAATTGAAAAGTTTGTGGATTCTGCTAGGTCTTGTGGGTCCCAGATGACAGGATACTGCAGTATCAATCCAGGGATACCCTTCTCTCCTTTTTTTACAATAACCAAGTTCAGAACGCTGATGTTGGCATCCACAATACAACCCCAAACAGATTTGCGCTTTCTTTCTTCAGTTCTCCTTGGTCTATAACAAGAATGCCCTTTACTCAGTAGCAGATGGACACAGCCATGGGTCAAGATACCCTGCTTCATGGGGAAACCTTGCTTGTCGTTCCCACCACTGATTCAGACCATGTAACCCTTCCATTCTTCACCGAGAGAATCAGCAGCAACTTCCGAGGCCATATGCTTATAGAAAGTATGAAGTTTGAGTTCATCGTCCACTTAATGAGTTTCTGGCATCCAGTGGCTGGGAAGGATATATTCAGCTTCATCTTGAAGCAGCTGATTGCCTCCGATGCAATGTGCCAGGCAAAAGAGCTCGTTATGGTTTTTTTCCTAAAAAACTTTATACTTCACTCCCTAGCACTCTGGGAGGCCAAAGCGGGAGGATTGCTCAAGGTCAGGAGTTCAAAACCAGCTTGAGCAAGAGCAAGATCCCTGTCTCTACTAAAAATAGAAAGAGCTACTTGGGAGGCTGAGGCAGCAGGATTGCTTGAGCCCAGGAGGAGTTTGAGGTTGCTGTGAGCTAGGCTGAGGCTATGGCACTCTAGCCCAAGCTACAGAGTGAGAGTTTGTCTCAAAAAAAAGACAGTATTTTCCCAACACCCTCTCAGACTAGCCAGTACTA